TGTGTTTTAGTTCTTTCAGCCTCAATGAAGAGGACTTTTACTGGTGGCTTGACTTAGGAGAAATTAAGAGAAATAACAATTAATATGAAGAACAATAGAAGTATTTCATAAAAATGAAAAACTTACAATAGTCCGAACTCAGCCTCGAAGAGGTTTACAGCAACAGTCTACTTGAATCTACTTGAGACTACTCCTATGAATTGAAGTGCAGTGCAGATATGCAAAGTGCAGGTATTGAAAGTACAGGAATGTAAAACTGGAAAGTAAAATATGAAATAAAGACTGGTATGTCTGATCTGAGTCCTCTTTTCTCTGGGGGTCTCTCTGCTATTTATACTTGTCAAAGATGACCTTCGAACTGCTCTTCGAACCGTCAAATTGCTCCTCCATGATCGCTGATCATGTTGCCTTAGAAGTAGCTCCATTATGTCACCATTTGCAGTTAGGCTTCCCTCCTGTATTTGAATTTGAATATGAGTAACCGTTGAAGCCACGTCACCTTGCGTTTCTTTACTGATCCAATGTTGTTCAGACCATGTGAGAACCAATTATCATCACCACGTGTACGATCAGGATTGAAGACTTAAATTACTTTCCAATAATACCCTTATTCTGCCACGTGTCGGACTGTAACTGGCTTTTACAAAATATACAGCTAACAACAATCAATTGTGGTCTTTCAGCTCAACTTATTTTGCAGTCAATTATGATTTTCCATTCACTCTTTCATGCCAATTGAATATACAATTACTTGTACTATAATGACAAAAGTTAGAACAGTGTCATGATATGTGTTATGTAATTGTACTATAACGACAAAAGTTAGGACAGTCTCATGATATTTGTGTTATATGTTATACAATTGATTACACAATCAATTGTGTTTGAAATTTTAAAAGTTGTGATATTTTGTGAATATTGTTATGATTTTGGAGAAAAATTTATAATCAACATGCTATGGTTATGATTTATTAGTAAAAGTTATGATTTGTTATGGTGAATTATAATTAAAAAAAAATTATTATGATAATTTGTTAGAAATAATTACATTTGTTATGAGTCATTATCGTATTGTTATAATTGATAGTGTCTTTGTTATGACACCGTTGTATATATTATGACATTGCTATAATAATTGTAATTGTTATGATATTTGGAAAAAAATTATGATTCTTTCATGTAACCTGTTGAATGACCGGTTTAACAAGTCACTTTTTATGATGCGACACAATATGGATCACACAATAGTTGCATATCATATGTCGTTTCAGAAGGTGCTGGTCATACTATTATATACACCCTCAAAAGTGTAAACTATTTGCAAGGTATGACATCTGTGGGGTTGATTACCACAAATGTCATAACTTATTACTTCCCAGTCATAACTAAAAAATAAAAAATAAATAAATTCATAACTAAACACATTTTGAGTCATAGCCAAAACAGTGTCATAATCAATATGACAATGTATATAACCAAGTCATAACAAATATCACACTAATGAGTTATAACTAACACCACTAAAATTTATTCATATATTTCAAGATATGAAGAATCATTACAATAACAAAAAAAATTAAAAATATAGTCTTACTGTTTTATGATTTAACAAATCTAGATTACAACAAAAGAAAAAAAAAATATTAAACTTATAATACAAAATAAAATTTAAACAATTACAGAAGAGTATTAATTAAATAGTACTTTTATTGTATTTTTAAATGGGTCTGGCTTTCTCTAGTTTGTGATCGAATTGGAGGGTGCTATTCGGCCCGTGGAGGCCTACCACGGGTCCCGTTTTGATAATCTAAAGCATTCAATGTGTAGAACTTGTCGAGTACTATATACCTGCAAAAAATCACGTTGATCGGATATCGATAACTATGTGATCAAATCAGTTTTGTATATACAAAAATGGATAGTGAAAAAATAAACGGTTGACAAAAATCTGATCCGATGAGATAGTTATCAATATTTGATCAACGTGATTTTTTGTAGACATATAGTACTCGACAAATTCTACATATTAAATAGTTCGAATTATCGAAACGAGACTCGTAGTGGGTCCCTAGTTTTTCCTCATATTATTTTATAAAGTTTAATATCTCAAGTTATTATTAGAACAAAATAAATTAAAACCCAATTTACATTAAATTTATAATGTTTAATTAAATCTCTATTTATTCATTTATGATCCGGACAAAATGAATGACCGATTAAGTTAGTTTACCCAAGTTAAAAAGATATTTTGAGTTGAGTAATGCTAGAGACTCCAAATATTCTACCAAAAGTTTTACCAAATGTCTCACATGGGTGTGGGACCCACACAATGTGGGTTCCATGTGGGTCCCACACCCATGTGAGACATTTGGTAAAACTTTTGGTAGAATTTTTGGGGCCTCTAGCATTTTTGTTTTGAGTTTGATTGTTTGGGGTATTATAAATAAATGTACTTTTTATCTTTTTAGACTAAAAAGTTAAGGAAAAAAGATAGATATTTGGATTAATTTTTTGTCTTTTTATGAAAAAATGTGTAATAAAAAATTGTATAAATAAGTGTATAAGAAAAGTAAGTGTAATAGGCTGTACGACATATTTTTCTAGGCAAAGTGTAGGAGATAAGGACATGATTGCCTCCTTCGCGGGCAACTATTTGGACAGTGTTGTTCGGCCCGTGGGGGCCTACCACAAGTCTCATTTTGATAATCTGAACCGTTGAATATGTAAAACTCGTAGAGTACTATATGTTTATAAAAAATCACATTAATCGGATATCGAAATTACATTGATCAAAACAGTTTTTGTTCACCAGTTAACTATAACACCATTTTTTTTTATACAAAATTGATTTGATCATATAGTTAGCGATATCTGATCAACGTGATTTTTTACAAGCATATAGTACACAATGAGTTCTACATATTGAACGGTTCAGATTATCAAAATGTAATCTGTGGTGGCCTCCACGGGCCAAACAACACAGTCTAAATGGTTGTCTGCGAAGGAAGCAATCATTTCTAGACTAGAACAGCAGACCAATCACGCAGACAACCCATCACTTCAGCAAAAAGTTGAGTTGTATTTTTTATGTGTACATTTATTTTTTTTTATATTTTTTTTTGTGAATAGTGATAACTTTTTAATTTTTTAAATAACTTTTTGACTTTTTATCTTTTTCAAGACATTATTATTAAATTGAAACTACTCAAATATATCATTTTTAAATCGGTAGTGCTACATACACTAATTAGTGTACTAACTAGTATGCCAACACTAGTTATGATATTATGATTGATTCCACTTATTAATTACATTAAAAATACCAAAAATCTTTTAAATTATGGCACAATATCAATTAATATACTAATTAGTATACTGATATAACATTATTCTTTTTAAATTGATTGATCAGCAAAAAATTTAACTTAGCAATTATGTAACACTTTTCATGTAAAATTTCGAACTCAATTCTTATAGGGAGAAATTTAATACCTTTTATGATTTATTTCTTCCTCATTGTTGAGCTTGGTGGGTTGACAAAAAAAGGAACAATAATGCTTGAGATCACTAAAAGTGGTGCTCTAAAAGCACCACTAGTGATGTGGCAGTGGACGGGACCCACTGCTTGTGTCTTGTTTTTTTTTTTTTTTTAGTTAAAGTGCTTGCCAACTCATTAGTGGTGCTTTAGAGCACCAATTTTAGTGGGATGTATCATTACCCATATTAAAAAAATATAAATGTTTGGAACTCCTTTCATGGGTTCTACAACCCTCAATTTGAGCTTGATCTTTGATGTGTGTGTGGTATACTCATGTATATGTAAGTTCCACATTAAAAGTGGTTGGGATGGGATTGGGTTGTAAGGGTCATATGCGTGTGGGGGTCTCTATCACAATTGTTAAAAAAATAATATGCAAGTCTACATTTTAAATTTAACAATTTATTAATAAGATAATTAGTCGATAATTAGAGAATAATTAAAAAAAAAGTTGATTTAGATATTTTAATAGAATGTCACATTACTAAATATACAAAGTGAATGTAATTTTTTGACCTGAATAATAATACACATAAATATTTTAAGAACAAACATTTTTGCCCTCAAAAGTGAAAACATTATTACAAAAAATATTAAGATTCAAATTTCAAGAAAATATTTTTATCCTCAAAAGTGAAAATATATTATTACATAAAAATATTGGGCTGCAAATTCTATCGGTAGGAAAAGATGGTCCGAGAAAGTAAAAAAATGACGGCTGGTGATAAAATTTTAAAATATCACTGGTTAATGTATTTTTAGTAATAAAATAATTTGGTGTTAAAAAGGTTTATTTTTTGACAAAAAAATTGTTCTAAAGAGGTAGCAATTTATTATTAAATGTCTAGTTTTATCGCTAAAAACACAACAATGAATTTTTTGGCAACTAAAATATTTTGTTTCTAAATTTTTTTCTCTAAAAATTGTTATAACCATTCATTTGTTATAATAGTGATGCAAAGCGCACTATTCATTTGTTGTAGGGATCCGAACGGTTCATTTTGTATAACTCTCTTAAAAAATCATTCACCATTCATTTTGTATGACCCTCCTAAAAAATCATTCTTACCAAAAAAATCATGCTAAATTTTTGTTTTTCAAAATAGAATTTTCCATACAGAACAACATGGCCTTATATGATCCTCTCACTTCAATGCAAAGCCCACCATTGTGGTTCAAGATTGTAAAAATACAATTATCACATCATTTTGTATGAATTTTATGCATAGTAATTCTATTGGTAAATTTTATTTATTTTTATTTGGTATGAATAAAGATATATAAATACAAATATGTATGTAAACACACAATTTATATTGAATATGGCATAAAAGTGACGCAGACGATCTTATTACCCAATTATGAAAAAATTTAAAACTCAAATAGAGATGTAATAGTAAATAAAATGAAAAGTGGTTCACAAATTAGCAATTAATTAAGCTCTTAAATAAGAAAAGCATACCTTGTCGTTGAAGAGGGGTTGAATGATGGGATCACAATTACTCTCTGAATCTGAAGCCGGACAGAGACGCTTCAGCTTTGGCATATTCAACAGTGACAAGGAACTCAGTTGTGGCAGCTCAATTGCATTCATAGCTTTGCAGATAGCAGTCAAACTTGGCAGATAGTCAAGATTCAATCGCTTTAGTTTAGGAAACTCGATTTTATCTGTTGCTATTGCTGCTATTTCATGCTCTCCTCCTTCACTCGAAACAATTTCTTCCATCATAGGACAATTTAATATCATAAGGTCCTGCAGTTGCACTAGATCTCTAGCTATGGAAAGTGAGAATATACTTTCCAGTTTACCACAACTCATCACATCTACAGTCGTCAGGTTGCCGAGCCATACAAGCTGGGTGGGACCCTTCCACAAATTTCTCAGTTTATACAAATGATATAGTTTCAACACTTTCAATGCACTGAAAGCCTTGTTCGGTAGTCGGCATTCATGACTAGTAATCCCTTTGAAATTATGTAGCTCACGAAGATGCAGAAACTCTAACACAGGGAAAGCACTCTGTGGAACCCCATCTGCTGTATTGATGAGGTATTCCAAATCATTCAACATAGATAGTGACAAATTCGTTAAGCATTCAAAACCTTCTTCGCCAACCAAATCACAGAGAATTTTCAAACCTTTCATACCTGAAATTAAAGTCAGAATTTCAGTGCTTTTCAAAAAAAAATTAAGCCTCGTTTCAATAATGTCACTCATGTTTTCAACTCCAAGCTGCAACTGATTTGATAACCAAAAACGGACAGGGATGTAATAGGAAATGTCAACACGTATATTGAACTTTTTTAACTTCTCAATGACCAAACCTCTCGGCCAGAAGAAATGTTTATTAGAGCAATATCCAAAGCCACCAAATTGGACAAGGACGCCAGCTCATCGATAATTGCTTTAGCACCTTCTTTGCTTTCTTCAACTTCACACCAACTTCGAAATATAGACCCAACATACAACTCTTCTAGCTTTGATAAGCTTGACAAAACCCCTGGGTAAATCCTTTCCACTACACATCCCAACAAATCAAGTACCTTCAAGTGAGCACGGTGACCTATTATTTCTTTTGGCAATTCCTTGATATAAGAGTCGCCAAACCTCAAAATTTCCAGGTTCTCTAATGCTCCGATAACAGAGATACCATCATCAATAAGTCGGCAACGAAAAAGTGACAAGGTTCGGAGGTTGGTCAAGCATCGAAGTGATGTCGGCAATGAGCCGTACATATCGGATAAAGCTAGCACTTTAAGTTCTTTCATTCCTTGGTAAAAACTGTCTTGGGTCTCTTGTACTTTGACTTCCTCCATTCCTTTGTTGAGATCACCTAATGAGATTGGTGGTAATCCAGCATTGCAATCTAGCTTTAGAAGATGGAGATTTGGAAATTCTAAATTACCAGGAAGCCCATGCATACCATCAACTTTTAATGAAATTATAGCGTTTTTTTCGAGTCGGTCTTTCGTGGGCCATTCTTTCAATACTTCATCACATCTCACGACAATCGAATGCTCCTCCCTAGATGCAATTGATATAGCCACATCACGTACGACATCATGCATTTTGATACACTCTACTTTTTCACTTTCCATCAATAGATAGCATTTTTTCAAGTCATCAACTATGGAATATACTCTGTTTCTTGCTTGGTGCACACTATCAATGCGCTCAAACAACTCTATCCCAATTGCATATCTAATAAGATCTTCAATTGGAATAGCAAAATTTTCTGGATATAAAGAACATAGCAAAAAGCATTTCTTGGCTTCCTTACTTTCTAAGAAATTGTAACTCAACTCGAAAGATTTAAACACATTTTCATACACTCCCTTGATGTTATTAACTATAGCCTTCCGTAATTGTTCAAGAGCAGAATCCCATGAAGGCTTGCCTTTACCTTTGAGTGCCCTCCCAACTGTAACAATAGCAACGGGCAGACCTCCACATTCCTTCGCAACTGCCTTCTGTGCTGACTTGAAATCAATCTTATGACTTGTATCGTCGTAGGGAATTCCAGCCATCTCCTTGAAGAGATTCCATGCTTCTCCTTCATCTAAGACACCAACTTTAAAATTCTTCTGTGTGTCCATGCCGTTGCATACATCTTTACTTCTTGAAGTCATCACAATTTTGCAACCCTTGTGATTTTCTCCAAATGGAATTCCAATGTCATTCAATTCTAGTCTCTTCCACACATCATCCAATATTACAAGGACTCTTCCAATGCTCAATATTTTTGATCGTATCTCCCCCGCTCCAGTAGGTAAATTGTTTCCTCCAAAAATTTTTAAATCCAATATTTTGGCTATCTCACCTTGAATATTAATCAAGTTTGGTTTTTGGGACACTACTACCATCACAGTAGTATCGAACATTTTCTTTTCTTCCACTTTCTTGGCAACTTCTTTTAGCATAGTTGTCTTACCAACCCCTCCCATCCCACATATCCCAATCACATAGATACTATCATGGGTCAGTGCCTCCATAACTTCATTCACAATCGACTTTCTAGATTCAAACTCTTTAAATCCTCCCATGGATGTGAACTTTGTCCCCACATGAGATGCAACTGCAGGGATGGAAACCCCAGAGAAATTTCCATCCCCAAATAGCTTCTCCAAGCCTTGAGTTTTCTTTGTAGCTTTCCTGCTCAATGAGTAGCGTGACTTCAGATATGGACACCACCCATTCAGGCACCCCTTGTTCGGTTTGACTTCATCTTCAAAGAATTTGTTGGCATCATTACTAAGTTCGCCCGCCTGTGTCAACCACCGTTCAACAGTAGTTTTAATACTTTCACTTTGACTTTTTGCTGCATCAACTTCTGCTTGTATATCAGATCTTTTATAGCTTTTGGACCTGCTTCTCCAGATTCTTAATGTTTCTGTCATAGAAAATTAAATAACCAAACTGACGGCAGACTGGGGTAACCAGACATTTTACAATCTCGGTTACTATGGGAAGAACAATGTTCAGGGCCATTTCCCTCACGTTTTTCTTCTGAGGAATCTGAGATTTGCAAATCGAAATAGAACAAAGAGAGTAGCGGACGGAGAGAGAAATGAAGATAGAAAAGCCTTTGAAGTGTAAAAACACACCCGCAGTGAAGAGAGCAAGCTATTCAGCAGTGTCTAGCTAGTAAGTCACCTCCAAGAATGAAATTGCTTCGATCCAACTCTGTATAAAAGGGAGACAATTACGATTTGAATGAAAATGAAATAAACATAACATTTGCATAAATTGGAGATAAAAGCTTTGGAATAATAATCACTTGTGGCTATATGTCTACTTCACACCTACTTCTCTTGTGACATGTACAGAGTCATGAATCAAATTCTATTTCACTTTAATTTCTTCCAGTAAGATTTGAATAATAATAATCAAGGGTTTAAAGTAAAATTTAATTATAAGTTGGAGAGTAAAAATTGTAACTTGCCCAAGTAAATGTATGTGTGATTTTTTATATATATTTTTTTCAACAAGGTTAAATAAAATAAAAGGTAAATTACAAATACATGTTTTCAAATTTGTTTAAAATACGAAAAGTCTCTATAAATTTTGAAATTACAAGTAATGAGAATTTTTTGTTTAATAGAATTATTAAAATTGTTAATTGAAATATAAATCTATGATTAAAAACTGTTAATATATATTTGACTATTTATTGACCCAACCTGATTTTTAAAATTTTTCAATTTAAATTCGACGATTTCAAATTGAACCATCAATCTATTTCGGGGAGAGAGGTGACGCTGAAAAGGGACGGCGGAGGGAGCAACCGACTCCATGGGTGGGGGGAGATGAGAGTTGAAGAAAGCGATAGTGTTCATGGTGGGTTCTGATCTGGTGTGGCTAGGTTCAAATGTAAAATAGTCGTTTGGGAAGTTAGGTTAGGGTGGGTTGGGGCTAAAATAGGTAAAAAAAAAAAAAAACAAAATAAATTTTTATCCCTGGCTAGAAGTTGCCACATCCAAATCATAATTATTTTATTTTTTCTCTCACAACTATCAAAAAAATTAAAAAAACTCATCCCAAACGAGCCTTTCCCAGGCTAAAATCAAAAAGACAACCCAAACCAAAATTCACAAAAAATACTACTAGACACTTCAAATGAATCACTTGACTCCGCTTGGGTTTAGAAAACCAGTTTTTGAGTTTATTTTTTCTTTTACGTGAATTTTTAAAATATTTTAATTAATATTTGTTATTTTTTAAATTCACTTTAAATACATTTAAAAGTGTGTATGACTTTGTTTAGAAGATTTACAAAATATTAAAAATATATATTATTCACTATATTTTTGTATTTTGTTGTATTTATTGAATTTTTTTTAAAAAAAAATCACAAATATTTTACTTTTTAAATACATTTAGATTAAATACATCTAAACAAAACATTAATAAAAAAATTACTAAAAATAAAAAAATACAAATAAAAAACTCAAAAATTAATTTTTAAAACTCAAAATCAAACAAAAAATAGTCTACACAATTTAGTAATTCTTTTAGGTCCTTAATATTGCTCTCAAATTTATGTCCAGTTGAAAATGTGAACCAAATAGTGCCAAGTGTTTTTTATAAAAAGACATTTATGTTAACAAAATAATTGACTGATAGTTAGACACTGGCAGATAGTTAAAATTGTGTTCAACTTAAAATTAGAGGAAATATAATTTTGTCTCCCCAAATTATCACGCGTTTTTCAATTTAATTTCCATACTTCGATTTATTTTAATTTAGTACCTAAATTTTTAACAAATTGATCAATTTAACACCTGCTGTCACATTCCGTCTACAATTGGACGGAATGTGCTGATGTGGCAGTAAAGTTTATTTAGAATCATTTTACCCTCCAAACTATACCTTAAAAATCAATTTGCCCCCCAAATATTAAAAAAAATTAAATTTAAATATTTAATAAATATTTTTTATCTCAATAATGAAAAAATTAAAATTTAAATAATATATACTTTGCAAAAAATAATAATAATAAAATATAAAAGTTCTCATTTAGAATTATCTTGAGACTATGAAGTATGAATACTTTGACAAACATGTCGTACCCATACCAGTTACCTACTGAAATTTGAAAAAATTTTCCCACTCAATTTTGAAATTACTATTAATCAATCAATTCTATTGAAATTAATTTGGGTAATAAATTAGTTACAATTATGCGCACATACACATATAGAGTAGTGAAGAAATTTTAGACTCAATAAGTTTCTCTAGGATCAACTCGAGATAATTTGAGACCTATGAAGCACAAATATGGGTATGAGTATTGGTATTGGTACGATATAAGTACATCGACATGGTAAAATCTTTAAAAAAGTAGGGTACGAGTACGAGTATGGTTTAATACGTTTGTAAAAAAAATATTTATTTTTAATTTGAAATAATACAAAAATTGATTAAATGGTTTGATTTGTTAAATCCAACAAACAATTGACATTTAATGCCAAAAGCATAGGTATAAGATAAAATTAAATATTATTATATTAAATAACTTATAAACCATAACTTAATTTTAAAACCATACTAAGTACAAAACTAAAAATGAAAAAGAAGTTTAGTAAAAAAAATTTTATCTTTGTAGTAGAAGAAAAATATTATTTTTGACTGAGGTACGGCTTGGATATATATGGGTAGGCCAAAATTTAAGTATATATTTTGTGTACCCGGTACGTATACAGAAATATCATACGTCGATAAATACCCAGTACGGATATGACATGTTTGTCGAATTATCTATGCTTCATAGTATCAAAATAATTCAAAATGAGGATTTTTGTATTTTTTATTATTTTTTTGCAAAGTATATATTATTTAAAATTTAATTTTTTTCATCATTGAGATACAAAATTATTTATTAAATATTGAAATTTAATTTTTTTTTATATTTGGGGGCAAATTGATTTTTAAGGTATAGTTTGGGGGATAAAATGAAATTCCAAATGAACTTTGGTGCCACGTTAGCACATTCCGTCCAATTGTAGACGGAATGTGACGACAGGGGTTAAAATAATAAATTTGTTGAAAGTTTAAGTATTAAATTGAAATAAATCAAAGTATAGGGGTCAAATTGAAAAAAGCGTGATAGTTTGGGGGCAAAATGATATTTCCTCTTAAAATTATATTGTTTAAATTAAAGAATTTAAAAATTCAAGAATTGATTGTTAAAATGGTTGAATTTTTTTTTTCCTTTTTTTTTAGAATTTCTCTGAAAAAATTATAATATAATTGGGCAAAGATAGAAACTCTAGAAGAGAAGCTTTTTTTAAGGATTAATTTACCATTTTAGTCCTCAAAATAAAATTCACAAAAAAAAAAAAAAAAAAATTTACACTCTTAGACAAAGATGAGTTCCCTTTATAGCGACCCAGGTTTTTTACCCGTCATTTATTGTATTCTGGATTCGCGTTCCATGGTTGGTTGTTGTTGTCTACATCTTGCTCCCATCATTTAATTCCTTGTATTTGAGTTGTGGAATGTGTTGGGTAAGTTTGGAACAGGTTGGTTGTGAGTTGAAACGAATGGTTGCTGCCCAGGTTTTTCTTTCTTCGCTCGAGTGAGGGTTTCTGCGCTCGAACGAGCTTTGTGTTGTGTGTCTCTTCGCTCAAGCGAGCACTCTTGCGCTCGAGCGTGCATCTGTGTATACATAAGACCTAAAGGTTGGTATTCTCTGCTCGAGCGAGCATTCTTTTGCTCGAGCGAGCCTTGTGTTATGAGTTCCTTCCCTTGAGCGAGCACTCTTGTAAAGAAAGTAGTACTTATCTGTAAGAGGCTAGCTACAGCTCAGAGTCGCTAGAAAAATTATGCCGGCCGTAGGAGGAGACTTTTGTCTTTTGAGGTGAGAGATCATGTCTTTTTGAAAACATCACCTAGACGGGATTTGATGAGGTTTGGGAAGAGTGGGAAGTTGTCCCCTCAGTTTATTGGCCCTTTTGAGATCCTTGAGCGAATTGGGGAGGTTTCTTATCATTTGGCGTTACCGCCACAAATTTCAGGGGTTCATGGCGTGTTTCATATTTGTATGCTCCGGAAATATGAGCCGGATCCTTCGCACGTGTTGGATTGGACCAACTTAGAAGTAGATGAGGATGCCTCATATGAGGAGAGACCGGTGGAAGTCTTAGATAAACGGGATCAAGTTTTGCGAGGCAAGACAATCCCCTTGGTAGAAGTATTGTGGAAACATCACGAAGTCGAGGAAGTGACTTGGGAACGTGAATTAGAAGTCTGAGAGAAATATCCGGATTTGTTTGTTGATGCATGAGCATGTGTTGAGAAATTATTATGTTAATGAAAAGTCTAAGCATTGTATATGTTTTAACTTATGAGAGCATTGTATATGTTATGATTGTTTGGGAAGAACATGGATTCAATATAAACATTGCATATGTTTTGAGAATATGGAATATTGTGGATGTTGTATCACTTTTGGAAGCATTGTATATGTTGTTGATAATCATTTTGGAAATTTGTTAAAACATGGTCTTAAAACATGATTTGTAATTTCGGGGACGAAATTCTTTAAGGGAGGGAGGTTATAGCGACCCAGGTTTTTTACCCGTCATTTATTGTATTCCGGACTCGAGTTCCATGGTTGGTTGTTGTTGTCTACATCTTGCTCCCATCCTTTAATTCCTTGTATTTGAGTTGTGGGATGTGTTGGGTAAGTTTGAAACAGGTTGGTTGTAAGTTGAAACAAATGGTTGCTGCCCAGGTTTTTCCTTCTTCGCTCGAGCAAGTATTTCTGTGCTCAAGCGAGCTTTGTGTTGTGTGTCTCTTCGCTCGAGTGGGCACTCTTGCGCTCGAGCGTGCGTCAGCGTTTACATAAGACCTGAAGGTTGGTATTCTTCGCTCGAGCGAGCATTTTTTCGCTCGA